CTTGACATAAATCATCCTCGCAAATTAATCACTTATCAGCCATAGTTAATCATTTGACATCAAGTAAAGTAAAACACAAGTCAATTAAACACACTAGCTTAAAGATACTCAACTTATCTTAAAGACTCACTAAAGACAATGGAACTGAATGAGTTCGTTCGCGTCGTTGTCATGGGACAACAGCAACACGTTGCATTTGAATAGATGAAACGATTGAACAATAGGAGCCTCATAACGTGATTAGAGTGAACTAATGACGTCCTTGCTGTCCACCAGAATGCACCTCCCCGTGGACCTCCACCCTCCCGCCTACGTAACATAATCGCATTCGGGATCCCCGTGTGCGTACCGGTTAAAATTTTAAAAATTTTGATTTTTCTCCCCTCTGGATCTCATTAAGTATTTATTATATACTGTGATATATCATTTTGTAGATAATTTTATGCTGTTTAATTCTCTAGAGCAAAATTTTTAACTAGAAGCAACCGTTTTCAAATTATTCACGAAAAACTTATCCCCTCTCCCCACCCATAGCTCACCCCCCACCCCCCAGTACTTTTAGTATGTTGTTCAGGATACCTTCCCCTACATTTGTGCCATGGCTTCTACATGATTTGTTTCCTCTATTCAGCCTTTTTTGGGCTTCGTTGCCTGGACTACAGGCTCCTCTCAGCAGAAAGACACGAAAAATCGCATACGATTTTCAGTAGGAGAATTTTTTATTGCCACTCAGCTCGTAGTCGGAAACCAGACTTTTGATCCGGCTCATATTGAATAGCACTGATCCTTGAACTCGTAGAAATCGACTGGCGACATCGCTGTCTCTTTCTTTTCGTTCTCGAGTTAGACGAGGAACAGATGGACAGACGGACAAAACCATCACATAAGGGGAATTTTTTTCTTTCGAAAAATTTCCCTTAAAACTTGTCAGACAGGAAATTTGTCAGGAAAATATGATGTTTTAAAAAAAAGCGAAAACACAGCGATCAGCGAAAAAAATTATGGCAACGGATTTCTGGGATTGAGAGCGGATCCTGTCGATTGATCATTGAGTACATGAAAAAGGGCACTACAATTAACAGCAATGTGTAATAGACTACCAAAAAATTCTAAAACTGTCATCAAAAAGTTTCACAATTATCATCAATGAGTGTGCTCTCCAACAATCAAGACATGGATGTAGCACCCTATGACATCTGTTTCCCAAGTTGGAAAAACACGAGGCCAAAGATTGACTTCTGATGATGATCTGAAAGTTGTTGTTAGTGATATGTTGAAGAGCTACCAAAAGGGATTTGTTTATTGCAGATGTGGTTGAATAAATGTGCTGAAGTTGAAGGTGCATATGTCGATAATAGTTATTTATTACATAAAAAGATAAAGGGATATATTAATCAGTGAGTGATAGTTTCCCCTTATCGTCGTGTATACAGTATAATGTTAGTTGAGGTGAATTTTTCATCTGTGGCAGAGATGGGAATTGCCTTAGACCAGTTTCGAGCATTCTGCCGGCTACTCCGAATCAGGTTTTCCTGCAGTTTTCCTAATTGGTAAGGTAAATACCGGAGTAGTATAGAACAACTTAAGACCTTCTGCAGAGGCACCTCAAAAAAAGCATTATGCGGGTCACTCTGTAATTGGGCGCAAGCCTGTTGAGGGCCCAGAACAAAAAGAGGGATAATAAATAAATAAATAAATGCAAAACTTTATTTTATAGCAGAAGCCATATAAGTGATTGTAAAGCTTCTGACAATATTCTGAATTAAATTTAGACGTCAAACAAGCTTAGGTTCTGTCGTCGCGCTCATTTCCATAGAAACAGCATTGTCAGTGTCTGAACGTCATTTTATATCGTGCTTTGCGTCCCATTTGAAACAAAAATGGCAGTTCATCTGTTTCACTTTATCTACCCTTGCGGTTAAAGTGATCACCCTTACGGTTAAGGATGCACTTAGTTTACTCATCCAAACCTATTAAAATGTCAATTTAACATGTGTTATAAAATAAATAAATTTTGTTTTGCTTTAAATTTGTTTCTAGGTAAATACATCCTACATAAAATTAAAAATTGTACTCTCGTAACCGCGCATTTTTCGAAAAAAAAACGAGTGGATTAAATTCAGTTCGTAAAGCTCTCCGTAGTTTTCTAGATCGCAATGTATTAAATGGTCGGTGGACATAGAATAGAAATACGTCGAAGGGAATTAAACTAATTCAAAACAAAGAGCGTAAGCGTAAAATCAACGTTCCAGATGAAATAAAGATAAGTAGGTATGTTTTGAAAACACCTGTTGCATAAACATTAAAGATTTCATCGTCAATAGTGTGATATTGGCTATTACTCTCATTCGAAATAATTTCACAGTGGTTCACGCTACCTCTATATTTCTGATTGCTTGTAGGGTGGTCTCTCCTTTTATATTCCCTTTCGTAAGCGTGTCTTAAAATCGAAGGAAAGAAAACCCAACTGCTTTATATTTAGAATTGCTTTCGGAATGTGTTTTAAAACATAAGGTATCGTAACTAATCATCTTACATTTTGGAGATTCTTGTTTACCTATGACTAATTAGACTATTAATTCAAATAGTTGGCTTAGGAAAGACGTTTAGTTATTCCTCACGTGTACGGACGGCTCAATAAAGCAGGCACTTCGTGTGAAATAAATCGGATGAGATCTGTCTGTCCTGTCTGCAGTCGACGCACCTGCTCTCTAAACATTCATCTTTAAGAAGACTTTTGAATTTATTTAATTTTACAGTGCAAGATTACAAATTATGCACGATTGACGCCAGTATGTTGACTTACTTAATCGTGTGGAAAAGTTTGATTGCCTACACTACCGT